GGCAGGGCCCACCCCAGCTCTGGGGCAGTGGTTTTTTTAAGGCAGGGGTTGGCAAACTACAGTCCGTGGGCCGGAGACCTGTTTTTGTAAATAAAGTTTTATTGGCACTCAGTCAGGCTCATTGGTTTATGCATGATTTGTGACTGCTTTCTATTTAACATCTGCCCTTTAGGAAAGAAGTTGCCAACCTCTATTGTCAGAAAACAGAAGCCTGCCTTATGCCAGGGAGGGCTGGGGTGTGGTCCCTGTTTGGGGTGAGGGTAGGGTATCCAGGAGCAGGAAAGACCTGAGTAACAGCTCAGTGGGGAGGGCTGAGGAGCGTGTGGGGAGGCCGAGGGCTCGAGTGACCCCAAAAGGTGGTTCCAAGTGCTGAGGTTTGCAAATTGGGGGGAGGGTGAGAGGTTAGACACACCAGGAGACAAGCAGCCGCGGGCTCCCTAGGGTGGAAAGGTGCCCACTGGGTGGCTCTCCGCAGCCTGTGAGCTCTAGTTCACCAACCTAGGCCCTCTGTGCCTCCTTCAACACTGCGTGTGGAACCCCACTCTGGGTGCTGCCCGTTCTGGGGCTCAGAGCACTCTACCAAAACCCAAAACCAAGTCACTGCTGTCGAGTCATTTTGACTCATAGCGACCCCTCCCTGGGCTTCCGATTGGGTTTCTAATTGGGTTTCCAAGGCAGCATCTCTATGGAGTAGATTGCCCAGTTTTCCTTCCAAGGAGTGGCTGGTGGGTTTGAACTGCCAGCCTTCTGGTTAGCAGTCAGATGCCTTAGGCAATGTGCTACCAGAGCTCCCCATTCTGGGTGGAGGGTGGCAGAGAGACAAAACATAGCAAGTTTACATCGCAGCCATAGGAGGAAAATAAGCCTGTGGGATTGGGGTCCGGAAAGACGCTTCCAGGAGAAGAAGACATTTGGACAAAGTTCTGAAGGGTGACTCGACCCAGGGGAAGAGGCTTCTCAGCAGACGGGACAGACGGCTCATGTCAATTTCCAAGGCAAGAACGTGTATGTTGTGGTTTTCGTCACCTGCTGTCCAGTGGGCCCAACTCATGGTGACCCCAAGGACGACAGAAAGAAACATTGCACCATCCCCATGATTGATGTGGATCGGACCGATCTGGTTAGAGGGTTTGAAGGAAGGCCGGAAATTGGGCAGTGGTCAAGTGGAGCTTGGATGGGAGGAGGGCGGTGGGTGGAGAGAGCAGGGTTCCGGCCAGTTTCATCCCATCCTTCGTACGTGGGTGTCTTAGCCTCCTGGTGCTGCCGTAACAGAAAGGCCACGTGTGGGTGGCTTTGAGGAACAGAAATGCATTTTCTCACAGTCAGGCGTGGTTGTGTCCTCTGCCCTGGGTTCTGGTGGCTGCCTTGGACTCTAGATGCTGCCTGGTGTCAGCTCTTCCTACTTGTCTCTGTGTTCCTTCTGGTCTTTTAAGAGAGGTGACAGGGACCCATCCCACTCCAGCATGGCTTCATTAGCATAACAGAAGAAAAGGCTACTTCCCACAGGCTTAGTCCACAGTTACCAGGGCCACAGTGGAACCCATAACAGTGGGCTCCATGCCTGCAAAACAAGACTGGGCGCCTCAGAAAGTGCTGGTGAGCCCACGTCCAACTGAGGGAAGGCTGTCTCCTCTCTGGAGGCAGTGGAGGCTGGCCAGCCTCTTGGTCCCTCTCGAGCAGTGGGTCCACGGTGTAGTGGTGAGCACTGGACTCGGAATCCCCCTCCATGAGCTGACAGGCCGGTGTTTGGGAGAGACCCTCCCCCACAAAGCCAGGTCTTTGGGAGGAGGGGCCGGACCCTAGAATTGGCATGGTTTTCTCTTCAGAGAGTGAATCACAGACAAGGAGGCCCAGGTCCTTGGCTCAGGATTTCCTGGCGTTTCCTGCCCGAGAGCAGCCCGTTATCTGGGGGCAGGGGCCCACCACTCCCTGACGTCAACTCTGCTCCCAGTGAATGGGTTTCCTTTTCCGTTTGGGAAGACATGATGTCTGTCATCAGTCCCATCGACCCTGTCTTTCTAACCCTGGCACCTCCGGTTTGGGAAGGAGTGAATGGGACTAACGAGAAGACAGTGGGTGCGGACAGGAGGTGTGGGGGGTCTGAGCAGATGGGCTGCCAAGTGCGGGGCTGGGGTCTCTCACGGGACAGATGCCTCCTCGGCCAGGATCGGTGAGGTTGGACCTGGAAGCCCCCGCAGCAGATGTGTCAGCATCAGGTAGCCCTCCAAGCAGCTCCGGGACACCTGCCTAGTAAACCTACTGGTGCTGTCGAGTTGATCCCACTCACAGTGCCCTAGAGGGCGCAGTAGAACCGCCCCGTTGGATTTCCAAGGCTGTCAATCTTTAGCTAAGCCACTGCCTCATCCTTCTTCCACTGAGCAGCTGGTGGGTTCCAACTGCCAACCTTTTCGTCAGTGGCCAAATGCTTTAACCACTATGCCACCAGGGCTCCTTAGTCTCTGGACCACATGGAAGGTGTCTTCGTTCTCTGTGCTGCTATAATAGAAATAACCCAAGTGGAAGGCTTTAACACACAGGGGTTTATTCTCTTACAGTTCAGGAGGCTAGAAGTCTGACTTCAAAGTGCTGCCTCTGTGGGCTGGGTGAAGACCTCTTGACCTGGGGCTTCAACTATGCCTCCTGTTCCAGGCCCAGGGGAGCTGGAGGTGTCTCGTAACTCATGCAGCTGCTGGCTGCTGAACCCAAGATTGACAGGTAAACTGGCATAATCCCAAGACTGACAGGCAACACGGCAGGCCAAGACTCGGCCAAATACAGGTCCAGATGTGCCAAAAAGCTTGAGACCTTTCTCAAAGCTTTTCCTTATATACTGAAAACAGGCCAGACCCTGAAGGCAACTGCTTCGGTGCTTACAACAAATTCCACCTTGAAGGTAATTACAGTCTTCTTATGGGGAATAAGTACCTCCAGCTGCGCAGCCACTCAAAACCAGGGCGGCCTGCACTATCTGAGCGTCTTCTCTCTGCTGCTTGTCACTGGCTGGCCCAGATGAACCTTCCTGCAGAAAAAGCATGCATGCGCGATCATCATATGCACCAAGCCAGTTACAACATTGCTCAACCTCTAAAACCCTTGTTTAAAATTGTTTGCAACCCTAAATGTCCATGTCCTGGGGCAAAGCCAAGGTTTCCTCACTCTGTTTGTGGCTCTATTTCCTGAAGGCCAGAGGCTTGGCGTGTGGCTTCTCAGGGACTGGACCCTTCCCTGCTGTTTAGACTTAATGACACCCGTTGTTGTTGAGTCGGTTCTGACTCACACTGACCCAAAAGGACAGGGTAGAACTGCTCCGTTAGGTTTCCAAGGCCGTCATCTTTATGGAAGCAAACTGCCACATGGTTCTCCCATGGAGTGGCTGGTGGGTTGGAACCACTGATCTCTTGCTTAGCAGCCCAGTGCTTAACCATTTGTGTACTAGGGCTCCTTTATACTCGATGCAAATACTTGTCAGTTTAACTTCTCATGCTGTCAACATCACTGTCTGTTTCCACCACTTGTTAGATCAGGAATTCCCACTGGGATGTTACTGTGGCCCTTTATCTCATTTAACGCCTTTCACAGCAAAGCACCGGAAGCACATAGAAGCTTCGAGTGATTTTCATGATTACTGGGAGCTCTGGTGGTTCACGTGGGGCTCACAACTGAGCTCCCGGTGAAGCCACATCTGCTGTGCAATGACCGCGTGCCAGGCACTCTGTGCAAGTGGAAGCGTGAGGTGGACGGTCTCACTCTAGTTACTGGAAGGTAGGACGTCTGATGATTCACAACAACAACAACATTTTTAATTTGGAAGGATGGAGATGAACACAGTACCACTTTGTATTTGTAATTCTCCTCAAACTTAAACACATTATAATCCGTCTGAAATATGCGTTGAAGGTAAACAATTTGGAAACTCTTGAAAAGGAACAAATAACTTGTGAATATTTTGGTGTATTTTTTTTTACTTTTATTGTGGTGAAAACTTGGTGTATTTAGTTTTTGTCTGTACACACACACACGCACACACACGGTCTCTCTTTCCAATTTTTAACAAAATGAGATTGGATACTCTCTCCACTACTCTTTGACAGTTTCTGTTTCATACCTAATGTCATTAAAAGTTCTCTCCAACATCATGGTTATGGATGCCCAGTCTTTCAACACATCGATTGCTTCCACAGTTTTGATATCGTGCACCCTGCTGAGAGGCACGTTCTTCTAGGGGGTTTGTAATTAACTTCCTTGGGATCAAGCAGTCAAGTGGAAAGCTGAACTGTTTCCAGAGTGTGTCCCTACCATTGTAACCTCCCAGCACTCCCCTGGGATAAGCAGGATAGGGCTGTCTCTTTCACACCTCTTCCAGCTTACACCTCCTGGCCCATGTGGTCTAGCCAAGGAGCCACAAACCCTTACCTGGCAGCACTTCTCCCACCTGACGTTCATATCAGAGGACTGCACGTCCTTTTGAAATTAGCTACAAAAAGGGATGGTGGCCTCTTGGGGCGAGCCCTTTCAGCCAAAATTCTGGGAGCCAGTGACCTCCCGTATACCTGGGCAGGTGCAGGGCGCCTCCTTCATTTTACTCAAGTCTGCCAGGCGCGGAGCAGCAGGCGCTGGCGCTGACAAAGTGAGAAATGGTCCTTGTCTGGGCTTGGGGGGCTTTTCCACGGCTCAGTGGTCCTCGGTGAGTCGGGCGCTCATATAGTTTTGTACAAGCCCAACCAACACCTTGGGGGGAGCTGTCTCACTTTATCAAGTCCAGCCTGGACTAAAAAGTCCTGAAAGTCCGCCTCCCTACAGCCTTTAGCGACCACAGCCTGCAATTGCACGGCCACTGGGTCACCTACGTGCCCCTACAAAGCAAAGTGAAGCTCGAGCACTCCCTCGGACACCCTCCCCTCCCTGAGCTAGGCTCCCGCGCACGCGCAACTGACGCCTTGTCCGCGCGCGCCGTTGTCAATAAAGTTTGCGCGCGCCGGAAGCGGAAGCGGCAAGTCTCCATGGCGGCGGCGGCGGCGGCGGCAGGGCCGGTGTTCTGGAGGCGGCTTCTGGGCCTCCTGCCGGGCCGACCCGGGCTGGCCGCGCTCCTGGGGCGCCTGTCCGACCGCCTGGGCAGGAACCGGGACCGCCGGCGCAGGAGGTGAGAGAGGCGGCCGGGCAGGGAGCGCGGCGTGCGCGGCCTAGTTCCCGGCGCTCAGGGCTGTGCAGCGAGCCCGGTCCCCCGCCACGGGGTCGTTCCCGACGCCACGGGCTCGGCTCCCGAGTCGTCTGCGTCGCCGCCGGCGGTCGTGAGGGAGGGTGGGCGGCCCGGGCCCGCGTGCCGCCGCGCACGGCCAGCGGGCCTCGCCTTTGCACGGCCTCCAGGCGTCTGCTTACACTTTAAAGGAGGGGTAGTGTTGCTTTCGGGGATCTCGACCCAGGTGCATGTCTTGAATTGGGGCGCAGGATGTGGGTGTTGCAGAGTCGCTTCACGACAGACACCGTGTGGGTTCAGGGGAGTCCTTTCCTTAAGTCCTCCCTGCGGGCCATGGGGTGACTTGGCGGCGTGAATCAGGCCTGCGGGAATTGTTTGCAAGCGGCACGGCTCACTTCCTGCCGGCGCCGGCCGTGAAGCAATCCTGAGTCAGGCGCACTCAGGCCTGGGAAGAGGAACCTCTCCAGCCCCTCTTGTTACACTCTTCAGAGAGTCTGTGTTCTGGAAAAGTACCGAAGCGAGTTATGTCAGAGGCGAAGCAGGCTTTGAAGCAGTTTGTTCAGGCGCTGGTCTTTGAAAGTAAACATTTGCGGGAACGCGTTGACCCAAGAGACCTGCTGCTGTGTTTTTTTTTTTCATTTATTTTTTTTGGATGAACATTTTATTGTTGCAAATTAGTGTTCCATTCAACAATTTGTACGCATTTTGTTTTGTGACATTAGTAGTTGAGATCCCTGGAGTGTAACACTGCTTCCTACCTTGGCTCCCGGTCTGCGTTCGCCCATCTTTCCTGCCCCTTCCTGCCTTCGGAGCTCTGTTCTTGGGCAGATGCTGCCCTTTTCGGTCCGTTGATTGTTTTGGGGAGCGCATTCCTCATGGGTGGTGGTGTTGACTCTATAGAGCTGTTTGGATGTGGGTTCAGTTCTGAGTTTGAAGGGTGTCTAAGGGCCACAGTCTAGCAGGTTCCACCAGTCTCTTTCAGACCAATAAGTCTGGTTTTTTTTTTTTTTTTTTTTTTAAATGATTTTGAATTTTGTACTACATTTTTCACCATCTCTGCCCAAGACCTTCTGTTGCAATCAGATCAGAGCAGTCGGTGGTGGTAGCTGGGCACCATCTAGTTTTTCTGATCTCCGGCTGGTGGAGGTTGTGGATCCTGTGGTCTGTTAGTCGTTTGGACTAATTGGTTCCTTAAGTCTTTGACTGTGGACAGGATGAGAACAACAGCTGTATCTTAGATGGCCACTCACAATCCCTGCTGCTATTAATATTAAAAAAAAAAATTTCCTCGTGTGCAATTAGTTTTCTTATTAGAGACTCGAGCCTTGCACTTGATCCTTAAAAAAAACACAAAAAACCAAAAACCTCGGGGCTCCCTCCTTCAGCTGAGGCTGTGTTGGGTTAGGCTTTGGTCTGTGCCGCTTCAGTGCCATTTGACTCCTGTCCTTCAGGACAGAGCTCTGTGGCCCAGACAGCTTTGCTTATTCTAGGTGTGGAAGGAGCTCAGTTCATGGGTTATGGTGGCAAAAATTCTGATAGAGGTGACCTTTCAGGTGATAGAGTCAGGGCAGGAGGGGACGCTTGGAAGCTTGTGGGTCCAAACGCCTCTTGAGTCTCGCCTCAGTGAGCCCAGCTGGGAGTGCTTGCAAACCTGATCTGTCAGTTCCCGTGGGTGGTCAAGAGGATGACTTCTGTGTCCTGGCATCAAACCACTGAGACATTTAGGGTGAAGTTTCGAAAAAGCTCTGTGCTGAAAAACAAGATGTTTAGGCAACTTTGTCTTTTCCCTTTCTGTGTTTAAACTGCAGGGTAAACATTCCCTTATTAATCATTGTTTAACGTTGGAATTGATGACTGGCAGATGTTGGGACAGTTGCCACAGATTCTTATAGAAAAGGCTTTCTCTTAACTCTTGTCTGGCTTGCTTTCCAGAATGTGTGTGGGGATGCAAATTGACTTCTTGAAGTCCTGTTGTGAGGACCTGGGTGCAGTTCCAGGGGCTCCTGTTTCTTATTTCCTGGGCGTTAAGGGGGAAGTTTGGGTTTTACACTCTTTGAACTAATTCCTGAGCTGGGGCTGCTGGGGCCTGCCTTGCCTGGTGTTGAGCAATGCTGTCGGGTTTTGACGCTGTTTTTGCCTTATTCGGTTTGCAGTGTTTTCTGGTTCTTTGTGTTTGGGGTTATTCATGGCTGTCAGGGCCACTCACCCCCTGGTGGCTGCTGACTTTCATTTCTCCATTGTTCACTGGCACCTCCCAATTCCTCATTCCCTGAATGATGCGGTTTCTCGTAACTCTTATGGTCATTGATTCATTGATAATGGTTCTGTGTAGTCACGAGCTCACTTACTTTAGGTTTGACTTTGCCAGTCTGACTCACTGATCGGCTAGGAAGAGTAACGGGGAGGGGGAGGTTTCCTGTGAGGCTTAGGGATGGCCATGGAGGCAGCAGCTCTGCTTCTGAAAGTCAGGGACCTGCATGTTCTGTTCTTCCCCTAAGCACCTGACTCGGTCACTTACTGCTGGATCCCTTCGTTTACTCGGAGAGTGCAGAGAGCGCGGCTCTGCTGTAGGTACCAAGGACGCCGACACATTTACAGCAAAGTGTGGTGGAAGGTCATGGCCGCACCTAGCAGGGACACCTGGGGGTCACAGAAGGCTTCCTGATGATGATGATCTCAGAGCTGTGATTGTTACTTTTTTTTAAACTTCTGTACAAAGGTCAAGAGCCTGTGTTGCATGTCTAGGGTATGTGGAGTGGTATCCTAGTCAATTCCAATATCCTGTAATATTTAATCTTCCTGGCGAATCAGGGGAGGTTTTGCTAGTTACTCTAATGGGGAAGTTGACCGAGGTTAAGTGACCCTGAATCTGAGGTTTTGAGGGAGGAGTAGGTGTGGGTGTTGTAGGAGGGATAGTGAGTGATGGTGCCGATTTAGCAGCAGCTGAGGGCAGCTCTGAGCTCTGACAAAAGCGACACTGTTGCCAGGAGCTGATGGGGGCCGCACTGAGGGGGAGGGAGGAGAAGCCAGACACCTGGGCCAGAGCCTGAGGAGTTGAGCTCTGAGGTTCCATGAACGTGATCCAGATGCACGTGGGCGGGGCTGATATGAAGTCGGGGCAGTGGGAGTGGAAAACGGATGCACTAGAGGTAGCAAAGGAGCTCTGGTGGCACAGTGCCTAAGGCACTTGACTGCTAACCAGGAGGCTGGCGGTTCGAACCCACCAGCCACTCCCCCCAAGGAAGGTTGGGCAATCTACTTCTGTAGCGATACTGCCTTGGAAACCCAAGGAGGGGTCGCTATGAGTCGGGTCTGACTCGACGGCACATAACAACAACAACAGAGTTAGCATTGTGTGTGTGTGTGGGGGGGGGGGTGGAAGAGTGATGATGCAGTAGGCCATGTTTCTGAGCTGGTGACTGGGTGGCGCACTTCCCTAAGACAGTTAGAAAGAGGAGTGGGTTTTGGGGACGGTGAGAGGTGAGGTGAGGCATGCTGGTACCCTGATGCAGCCGGAGGAGGGCCCAGCGTTCCCTGGTGCACATGTGGAGCTCGGGACAGGGAGCCAAGCAGCGGGTTTGGTGTTTGCAGTGACCAGGCCCCTCGGAGTTGCCTTGTTATCTGAAGTAGATGAGACCCTAGTGGGAAACGTGCCGAGGTCACTGGTTCCTAATCCTGGGCTGGCCCGTCAGCCACGCACTATAGTGTTTCCTCTGGGGCCTGTTGTTTGGTTTGTTAAAAAAAAAAACCTGTTTTCAGTTTGAGCTACATATGTAAAAAAAAAAAATCTTCATTTTTGCATCACAAGCCCTGTTTTCTCCTTTCTGAGTGTATGAGCCGGAACTCTGGTGGCGCAGTGCCTGAGGCATGTGACTGCTAACCAGAAGGCTGGCGGTTCAAACCCACCGGCCACTCCTCGGAAGGAAGGTTGGGCAATCTACTTCCGTAGTGATACTGCCTCGGAAACCCAAGGAGGGGTCGCTATGAGTTGGCTCCGACTCAATGGCACATGACAGCAGCAGCAGCAGGTTCGCGTGCTCCTGTCCAACCTGTGAGGGGCCGGGAGGCCGTGCTTTGTGTTTTAGGGGGAGTGATGCTGATGATTTCCAGAAAGTCCTTTTCCTTGACTGTTTTGTGGGCCTCAGGTCTCCTTACTCAGTAGGGCTTAGTGCAGCCATGTATGTCTTGGCTTGCTTCCACTGGGAGAATGGCATCATGACCCCCAGTGATACAAACTTGATCTGGCGGTGACTTAGAGTAAGGTTAGCAGTGGACCGACTTTCCCGGTTGTAGCTTTGTTAACAGTAACCTGAGGACCCCTTGAGTTCTGGGTTAGTCATTTGGCTCCAGCGGGCAGATATCAGCCAGCCCAGGAGTAAAATGTTTTGACAGGTAATCCACTCGGAAACACTGTGAGATCAGATTACCTGCGATGCTTGCTCTCAGGGCTGTTGCCAGGAGCTTCCTGGAGGAGTGTTACGGGGGATGGGGGATCGGGAGATCGGTTCTTGGCAGGGCTTTAATGTGCCTGCTCTGTTTGGCTGCTTGAAGTGCACGCACCCATGGCAGGCTCACGAATTCCTCTTAGTTCTGTGATCCTCGCTGGGATGGACTTCCTTTTGGGTGAGCCCGGAGGACCTCGTCTGGTCGGCCTGGCCCCGGCAGCCCTGGCGGTGCTGGGCTGCTTGCCGGCGCCCGGCAGGCTGCAGGTCTGTGACCTCCGGGAATCCGCGTGCGTTCCCCTTCCCTGGGTGTAGGGGTTGCGTTAGTCTGGAGGGCAGCACGCAGGAAGTGCACTCTCCTCGGGAGCTTCGCGGCTTTCTCAGTAGGTGCTGGGCTGTTGCTTTTCTCATCACTCACCTTTTACCCTGAACTGCGTGTGACTGAGGAGGGGCAGGCTTTTCTTAAGAAGTCGTTTCTGAAAACACGGTAATCCAGAGTGCTCTTTGGAACTTCTCCCCGTTGTGTCCAGATTTGGACAGGATCCAAGCCACAGAGTGTGTACTGCGACTCTTAGCGTAGCGTTCCAGAAGGCCTTGAGATCATGCCTCTTGAACCTAAGGCCAGGGACCGGCATTGGCTCCCTGCGTGTGGTACAGAGAACACCGCTCCTGCACCAGGGCAGAGCTATGTCAAAGCCTCCCAGGGCCCATTTGGAGAACCCCTGAGAAGTTGCCCTCCCTCCTCGTGTCCCATTGGCAGTGGGTGACAACAGGGAGAAGGGGACGTGTGTCCTGAGTCCATGATGGTATGGGGGGAGCGCCTAGGGGTGATGGGGAGAGGAAACGCAATCTCTGACGTCTGCCTCTTCTGACTAGCATCTCCCCGCTGACCAGGGGGTGGGTCGGACCCCTAGGTGTGTCATAGCGCTTTCAGACAAAAGGAAAACGGAAGTGGCCTTTTCACAGGAAGTACGCGTAGTAGCTGCGGTGTCTGCCCACCTGCTTTCATCTAATCCTCGTAAGCAGGTGTGTTGGGCGACATCTTGGTATCTCGGTGCTGGGTCAGCGTGGCTGGTCATTCTGAGCTCTGCCCCTTGAAAGCACCTGGCGGAGGGCTGCTGGGTGGCCTAGGCAGCCCTGTGTCCTCAGTCCCCTCTCTGGCTTCACAGTGACCCTAGTCCAGGGGCTGAGGGGGGCAAGAGGCCAGACATCAGCACGCCTTCCTTGGTCGGTGCCATTTGGGGGGTCGGTGACAAATTCCACAGGAAGCCTTAAACCACGTGGCTGAACCTTAGCCAAGAGCCAGGCTGGCTTGCGGAGAAGGCGGTCCCGTTTCTCTTTGGAATCATGGACTCGGAGTAGTTGTGCATCGTTGGGGTTTTGGCCGCTGCCGCCACCGTCAGTGAAGAATTGTGGGCTGAGTGCTGGGGCGCGGGTGGTGCTGCCCGGCCCTGGGCTCCCACTGTCCCCACCCTCTAGGTGGAGGGAGTGTCTCACCCCCACCCCACCTCATAACTGGAAGCTGCGGCTCTGGGTGGTGTCTGGAAGGGGGTGACACAGGAGCCCAGGTCTAGGTGCGGAGAACTGCGTGTCCTGGGTCAGTTCTTCGGGTGGTGGAGGCAACGAGCTGTTCTCCTTTTCTGGACTCCCCCCACCCCCCGTCCTTTGGGGGCCCCTTTTTGAGCTGGGCTACCTGGTCTCTCAGTAACCCTCTCGGGGGTGAGGGGAACTGCTTGTGCAGGTGGTTGGTCCATAGAGACTGGAGGGGCTGCTGCTAGCGTGGGGATCAAGCGTTTTCTGGGAAAATTCCCGGCAGCGGCATCGTAGGGAGCCGGGAAGTAACCCCCACGAGGCCCTGGCTGAGGTGAGGAAACAGCGCCGCGCAGGCTCTGGAGAGGCCACCAGGCACTTCCGGGTGGGAGCTGACTTTTCCACCCTGGTGGCCCCTTCATGTGGGATTAGAGGGTCCCCAGTCTAGAGGTGGTTCCCTGGCCTGGGCCTTCCTGGAGCCCCTTCCTCCCAAGATCTGAGCTGGCCTGTGGGCAGGTGGGTCTGCCCGATGGGAGCTGCACCTCCCAGTGGTGCTCAGCGCCTACTCCTCATCTCGAACCAAAAGAAGCCTGTGGGTGCACACGCGCCGAACAGGAAGCCAGCGGAGAAAAGGCGCAGGGCCCTCGGGCGTCCCCGCCGGGCAGCACTGGCTCCCCTCGGGGGTCACTGGACGCTCGAGCCCTGCACGTCTGGCTGGTCATTCAGTGGACGGTAGCCCTTCTCGTCCTGCTCCTGGATGCCTTCTGCTGTGTAAGTTCTGTGCAGCCTCCACAGTCCATGGTGGGTGCTCAGAGAGCCTGAGCAGAGGTTTGCCTGGCCCTGTCCTCTGTTCGCTGTGTGCCAAGGAAGTATCTCCTCACCTGCCTTTTTTGGAGTGGTTTTGAGTCCCTTGGCGCATCTGCAGGACTGTGTGACGACTGGCTGTGTGGGCCTGGAGCGTCCTGGTGACCCCAGAGTCCTCACACATGGGCTGAAGACGTCATGGAAAGTGCATGTCGCCACCACCGTTCACAGACCTAAACAAGACACATGGGTAACACCCAGAGTCCTCACATGGTCTGAAGACGCTAAGCAAAGTGCATGTCACCACCACCATCCACAGAACTGAACCAGGACACAGGTGACACCTGGAGGCCTCACATGGTCTGAAGACACTAAGTGCTGTGAGGTTTCGACCTCAGATGGACCATGTTTGATTAATGAACATGAGCCTTCACAGCCCCTCGGGGGCTTTACATTGATAGACGCCCGTGCGGCTCTCCCTGTCTTGTGGTTTTCCCGGTGGGCTGATGGGTCTTTCCTGCCACTCTCTTGGCTCTGGCCTGGGAAAGGAGGATGGCTGACGGGGGGGAAATTGAGGCAGCAGTGCTTCGTTTGCCCGTTTCGGCCTCTGGCTTGCAAGCTGCCGCTCATCACCACCCCCTCTTTAGAGAAAGGCCCCTTTCCGCTTCTGTGCTGCATGGCCCGCTGAGCCCCAACTCTGCAGGACACAGAGCCCATAGGTACCTTCTGTCCTGGTAAGAACCTTCCTGGCAGTGAGTCGGCTGTGAGAAACCGGGCTTTCTGGGAAGTGCAGCTGTGAGGCATTTGACGTCTGTGCAGCGATGTCCACAAACCCTGGGAAGGTTTATCTTACAGCCAGTGAATGAGGTCATCTCCCGGGAATCTCTGACCGTCCCGGTGGGGGATGTTTAAGTGTCTCTCTGGGAGTTCCTCCCAAGGCTGCCGTGGACGGCTGCGCACCAAGCAGGGTTCTGCTGCCGACGGGGTGCTGGTGTGCCGATCGGGCTGCGTTGTGGGGGGCTCACAGTCTGCAGCCCTCCCCTCACACTTAGGTGTCCCACAGCTGCCGGGCAGCAGGAACGCTGCCTCACTGCTCCCATTCACGGCTGGTTTTGGCCTCAGACCCGCAGGTGGAGTTGGCTAGGGGTGCAGACTGCTGGTCTGACGGCTGCCCGAACCTGGACATGGTCCCCCAGGAAGGTTGTGTCCAGTGGTGGTGGGGGTGGGCGTTCTCATGCACACCTCTCAAGATGAGAGCTTCCTGCTCCCAGCTTTGCCCTTCAATTCTGAGTCTCCTGGAGGCAGTTGGCACCTGACCTCTGGCTCCTTCCCCTCTGTGGCCTGGAGTGGAAGCCTGCTTCCTTGTCATTGGCCGTTGGGCAAGTTGCTCTCCCAGGGCTTAAGAGGAGGGAGGACCAAAGGGAAAGCCTTCTGCAAAGTTTGATGGGAGAGGGTGTCACTAAGAATGTTCCAGGACGTCTGAAATTCAGCTCTTCCTGCCAAGAATCCAAGTGAGACTTGGAGGGTGCGTTTGAGGAGTGTAACTAACGGCTCATTGGCATGTTTCTTCACCCAGGTCGCCATGGCTGCTGCTGGCTCCCTTGCTGTCCCCCGTGGTTCCCCAGGTCACCTCTCCGCCCTGCTGCCTGTGTCTGGAGGGCGTGCACCGGTTCCAGTGGATCCGAAACCTGGTCCCCGAGTTTGGCGTCTCCAGCTCTCACGTCAAGGTGCTTTCTTCCCCGGCAGAGTTTTTTGAGCTCATGAAGGTACGTTGTATTGAGAGGAAGAGCAGCAGGAGTTTGGGGTGACGCTGGGGTCCTGAGCATTCCTCTTTCTGTCTGGAGGCCCGCGGTGGCTGCTCAGCTTCTGTGTTGGGGTTCTTCTGTTGGGTGTTAGGTGCCAGCTTTTTGAGGGCCGGGCCGGGCCGCAGTCTGGAGCTCATCTGCATGGCTCGTGTCTCGGATGATGTTCAGGCTCGGTTTTGGACTCTGTTTGCTCCAAGTTGGAGACGCAGACCCGTAGTCACAGAGAGAGGTTAGCGGCGACGCGTGGCCCACACAGGCACGTCCCTGGTAGTAGCGTCTGAAAAGATGGACCTGCGTCTGGTCAGTACACGATTGGCCCTGCCTTGAGGACGTTCCTGAGTGTGTTGGAGCCCTCTGAATGGATAGAGGGCAGGAAGACTAGGTGACCCCTTGTGGGAAGTACCCAGGGCCACTCGTTCAGGGAGGAGATAGTCGAGGGTCATTGGCCTCAGGCTTCAAGTCCTGGGGTGACTGTGCCTGAAGTCGGTGCTGCCCCCTCTCGGTGGGGATACTAACATTGTGCTCGGTGTCTGGCATGGGTTTCTGTGCTGCGTCTGAGTATTTGTGGCCTAACTGCTAATTGGGATGAAGTCATTCACCCCCAATTAATTTTTATGAGCATGAACTCTGAGTTCATGTTAGCAGTGACGTCAGAAGGAAGGTATGATGAGGTTGGCCAGGCAGGATGCTGGGAGGTGGCAGGAGAGACTCATCTTGGTGCAGAAGGCGACTGGCATCCACTCGGATGCTTGCGCGTTTTCTCCCCCCCTGTCCTGTTGTGTTCTGTCAATGCGCTCGTGGCTTACGTTCTGGCTGGTACACCCCAGGCTGCATCTGGGCATCACCTCGGTGCTGGGTTGCTTGCTCCTCCCCTCCCCCGCCCACCGCACTGCTCATCTGTCCTGTGGGTCCTGGCATGTAGGGCCCACGCTTGGATCTAGAACAGGCCAGGAGCTGGGCCTCTGCCCAGCAGACTGGGAGGAAGCCGAGGCCTCCTCCCGCCCTTGGAGTGGAATTGTGGGCAGGTCTTCTGGCCCACGTCGCACTGAGTGGGACGTTTCTCCTGGGACAGACAGAGCAGCCCGTGTCTGCGGGAGAGAGGACTGACCCCACTCCCACGCCTCCGTTGGGGCTGCGGTCAGTAGCCAGATGCTTGGGTATTTGGTCGTCCTCACCGTGTTTTCTGTTCTTCCTTCATGGTCACCTGCCAAGTGCCTCCTGAGCGATAACAGAACAAAGGAAGTGGCTCTACTTTTTCCTCGTTCATCAGCCTTTTCCTGGCGGTTTGCTTTGTGGTCCCTTAGTCCAGATGCCCCTTGTTCTGTGTTGACCCGGCGGCCGTGCAGTGTAGGCCTTGAAGGAGGCATTAAGTGTGGTGGTCCCTCCTGCTGGGGAGGCGACGTGTGCCAGCCTCTGCTTCCTCACAGCCTCGCCTCTGGGCCGCCTTCAGGGCTGGGTCTGTGGTAGCACTGTGGCTCTCTGTGCCCTTGGCACTGTTCTGGAGGGAAGGACACTGGCTGTTGGGATTGATGGGCCTTGTCACGTTTGACCGTTAGTGCATCTACCTGTGTGTACACGTTATGGAACCCTCAGCTGGTGCAGAAGAGTGAGGGGGGAGCTCACATCCTCACCCACAGTCCCTCCCTCCAGCTCCGCTCCTCGGGTGCCTGCTGGCATTTCATGTGTACCCACGTGCCGGTGAGAACACATGCCCGAGCGCATACGTGCAGGTGTGTGCGTGTGGTGAGCCGGTGGGAGCGTGGCATGCGTTCTCTGAGGGACCTTGCTCTTGTCTCTTAGCCACACCTCGTGGGTGTTCGTTCATGTCAAGGCACGCAGACCCCCTTCTTTTCAGTAGCTGGTTGCATTTCATGGTGTGGTTAACCACGCTTCACTTTGTGGGCTAGGTGTTGTGAGTGAGGGGTGTGGGTCCTTATTGGTAGGCCCCCCATGCTCTGGGCCAGCCGGAAGCATTACCTGGTGTCCATGCAGGGTGGTTCGGCTTGAGGTCCGAGCACTGTAATTCTCAGTGAACTCCAGTAGGACTGCACAGTTTGAAATTGCTTCTCCTCTTTCAGGGGCAGATAAAGGCAGCCAAGCGGCGAGTGGTGATGGCGTCCCTGTACTTGGGGACAGGCCCTTTGGAACAGGAGCTGGTAAGGTTTGAGGGGAGGGGGCCCCAGCAGCAGCAGTGCGGCCCCAGTGCCTTTCAGCTGCCAGGCTCAGTGGGGTGAGCCCGCCCTGCCTCTCCTGGGCCTCTCTCCGGCTGCTTTGTTTTTGCCCCCAGTGTGGTAGAGCTGGGACTTGTTGGGAGTAGGCTGTGATCCCGGGCTCAGGGCTTGCTCTACTCTGGCTCCTTTCTCATGAGAGCACCGTCGGGACAGCCACAGAGGAGGACATGGGGCGGCCTGACCCTAGGCCCCTGGCCTTGCTGGCCAGCGTCCCCTTCACCCCCACACGGGCCTCGAGGCTACTCTGGCTACCAGTCCAGGGCTCGGCAGACGGTGGCCTACAGACTACGTGTGGCCCTCTGCCTGGTTTTGTGAGTTAAGAATGGTTTTAACGTTGTCCAGTGATTGGAAGAAGTAATAGTAAGAAGGACATGTGGCCTGTGGGAAACCTATGTAACTCAAGTTCCAGGGTCCACTCGGGATGTTGCCTGGAACACAGCCGCCCTCACTTGGGTGCGTGTTGTCTGTGGCTGTGCTCCTGCAACAAGGCAGCTGGAGTTGATGTGACATGACCAGCTGGCCCCACAGGGCCCAGGACATTTGCTGTCTGACCTCACAGAACACGTTTGCTGACCCCTGACCTGGACAGGTGGAGCGGTGCAGGGCGGGCCTGGCCGTGGGCTTGCCGGGGGTGGGTGCCCGCTGCTCTGCACCTGCTGTTCCAGCACACTCACTGTGAGCATGGGCATGGTGGCATCGCCAGGTGTGTGCAAGGTGTGCTTCCCGTACTGGGGGCAGGCACGGCTCGTGTGCCTGTGGGTTCAGGTGAAGGGACCTCGTGTGAGTGAGGTCACTGCCGTCTTGGGCTCACAGAGCAGCTTTTTGTTCTGAGGTGGTCAGACAGCCCGTTGCCCGTCATACACGCTGTTGCTTGGTTCAGCCTGTTGAGAAACTTGCAGGTAGGGGCCGGGAAGTAACGGAGGGGCTGGAGTTTGGAGGAGGGGAAGGTAGGCATAGGGCTGCATCCCTGCTTCCACCCCCGGCCCCAGTTGCAAATGTGGGCAGCCTGTCTGTCCTCACAGGTGAAGAGCATGACATCCAGCCTGTGGCGAGTGGCCAGTGGGCAGGCTGTGTCTCAGACTTGTTCATTTCATAAATATTTGCTGAAGGCTGTCTACATGGAGCCACAGTGCATGTCTGAGGAGGGCTGTCCACGTGGGGCCATGGTGTGTGTGTGAGGAGGGCTGTCCACATGGGGCCACGGTGTGTGTGTGAGGAGGGCTGTCCCTGTGGGCCTGCTGTGTGTCTGAGGCCAGCTTGCCTGGGCCGTCAGCTGCTGACCGACAGGTCTCGCTGCTCTTCCCTGGAGGCCCAGACTGCCGGGAGGGTGCCAGGTGGCTTCTCTGTAGAAGTTGTCTGGGAAGGAGGAGCTCACGTGTGTGTGCACAGAGGGCTGAGGCATATCTGTGAATGAGTGATGCTTTATTACATGAATGTCTCTTGGGTCCCTGTTCTTCATGATTCTCTCACCGACAGGTGGACTGCCTGGAAAGCACTCTGGAAAAGTCACTCCAAGCAAATTTCCCTTCAGAGCTCAAGGTCTCCATTCTCTTAGACTTCATGCGGGGGTCAAGAGGTGGGTGACATGCGCCCCTCGCCCCTGTAATGCTCCTTTAAGGCCCTCTGTGTCAGGAAGCTCATAGCCTCCTTCCCTAACTGCAGGCAGAGACCAGGTGATGGGAGAACCCAGGGCCCGCCTGGGAGGCCGCGTTAGGGTGGTACCTGCCGGCCTGGAGGGCCAAGTTAGGGCAGCTCCTGTACTGAGGACCGGAAAGTCCCTGAAACAACGGAGGCAATGAGATTTCTTGCTCGTGTGACTGACCTGCTTCGGGAGGGGCTCTGACTCAGGGCCCGTCCTCTGGCCCTGCTTCCCTTGGGTGCCTGAGTTCTTAGGCTCCGGTGTGGTGTTGGGGGCTCCAGGCCTGGGTTGCCCAGCACCCTATCCGTGGGGAGAGGGTCAGACCTGATGGCTTGCCTGGGTCACCTGTGTGGGTCCCTGGCTGGACCACTGTCCCCAGGGGCGTGGTGTGCCCTCCATGGAGTTGGGGGACAAAGCACCCAGAACAGAAATGCTACCAGTGGGGGAGGGGTGGTGCCCCAGGAGGAGGTCAGGTGCGTTACTAGGTACGAGGTGGCAAAAACAGCAGCCCCACTGACTCCTCTAGCCCTGCCTGAGATGTGGGGTCCAGAAGAGGTGTTGGCCCCCAGATTCTCTGGCCAGAAAGAGCAGTGACTGGGCAGTGCAGCCGGGCATGGTGGCCCTGAGGGTGTAGCCAGCAGGGGGCTGTGAGCCTGTGTGCCTGGCCCTGGCTGCCAGCTGCTGGGCCCTGGGGCAGACACCGTGTCCTTGGGCGCCGCCCTGCAGGCAGGAGGAACTCCCGGACCATGCTGCTGCCGCTGCTGCAGAGGTTCCCCGCGCAGGTGCGCGTCTCGCTCTTCCACACCCCGAAGCTGCGTGGCCTGCTCCGGCTGCTCATCCCGGAGCGCTTCAACGAGACCATCGGGCTGCAGCACATCAAGGTCTACCTCTTTGACAACAACGTGATCCTGAGCGGGTGAGTCCCCGCCGGCAGGGATCCGGCCCTGGGGGCCCTGTCCCGCTGCTCTCCTAGGCAGCTCTGGCATCTCCTCGGCCAGGGGAGCCGGTGCCTGCCCGACCACGCCGGGCCCCCGTGTGTGCCGTCCTGTTGACTGCTGGCAGTGCCCTCTGTCCCATGTTCCTCGATCTGTGTATGGGGAGTGCAGGGAGGACAAGCACCTCTGTCCCACAGACCCAGAAGAGCACATCAGGGCAGAGCCAGGGTCTGGAACCAGGGCCTTTTGGCTCTGGAACCCGGGCTCCGTGATGGCAGCTGTCTGCCACTTGGGTGTCAGCTCGACTCTGCACCTCCTGAGGGGAGAGCCTTTGAGCCCTGACTTTGGCGTCACCTGGCTCCTCCCTTGCCTGGCCCCTTGCACTGGTCCCTTCTCAGAAACAGTCTGTCAGCTGGCTCTGGTGCCTCCTGAGTTGAGGTCAGCCCCGCTTGTTCACTGGAACCCCGGGTTGCCGGCTGCGTGGCTGCCTTCTCTGGCCTGGTCCTCACTGACGTCTTCCCCCCTATAGTGCAAACCTGAGTGACTCCTACTTCACCAACCGCCAGGACCGCTACGTGTTCCTGCAGGACTGCCCGGAGATTGCCGACTTCTTCACAGAGCTGGTGGATGCTGTGGGGGACGTGTCCCTGCAGTTGCAGGGGGACAATACGGTGCAGGTGGTGGAAGGCATGGTGCACCCTTACAAAGGTAGGGGCTTGGGTTCTGCCGCCCTCCTGAGGTCATGGGGTGGTGAGGAGAGGGCACCTAGGTGGCTTTGCCACAGGTCAGGAGACTTGACTGGCCAAGCCCCATTCTGCTTTTGAAGCCAGCAGATGGGACTCATGGCTGTCAGTCGCGCTCTATGGGCAGTGTGCCCTGGGGAGGTGGGCAGTGGGGTTCTAGACCTGCCCTGTGCTTACAGGAAGCAGCCTGCCAAGGGACTGTGCCAAACTGGGGGTGGGGCCTGAGGCCGTCAGCTCCACGGAAAGGAGGCCTGGGGCCGTGGCCTGGAAAGTGAGAGGGAGCCTTCGCTCTGCTCTGGGAATGGGCACGTCCTGGCAGCAGGCACTCCCTGGTGCCTTGTGTGTTTCATGCCTTTAGGAGGCCAACTGTCGAGTTCGTAGCAGGGTCAGCGTGGGAGGAGGACCCCAAATGCAGATCACACGGGGAGATCGTCTCCTGTGTCCGGTAGACTGAGAACAGGAGCATCTTGGTGGGCCTGCTTGGTCTTGGGTTCCCGTGGGGCTGTGGGACACTTGGGGGCTGCTCACCTCCACATCCGGCCTGGCTCTCCTGGCCTCACTGTCCATGGGGTGAGTGTGCTCAGCTTTCTCCTGGGGGATGGGTGCCCCACCTCTGGACACTACCGCTGGTCCTCCTGTCCCTGTCTCGGATGCCAGTCAGCAGGCCGCCCACTGCTCCCGCTGTTTGGAGAGTTGACCCTTGCTTGGTATTTGTGGTGTCATCTTGTTCTCTGGCCTGAAGTCGTCCAGAAGTTCTTTTCTGGACAAGGGACCACACTAGCTTCCGCTCTGTGTAATCACTGTTGGAATTGGGTGGGCCTGCAAGCCGAGAGTGGTCTCTTTAGATGAGTGTTCACTGTGTGATTTCATAGCAGGTGCACCGCTGTCACCGTTCCCTGCAAAAGAATTCCATGCTTCCCTTTGTTGCTGGGGGCTGTCGGCTCGGCTCCGACCCGGCGACCCCGCTGCACCACAGAACAAAGCACTGCCTGGTCCCACACCACTTCACAGCCCCCGCTGAGCTCGAGTCCATGATCACGGCCACTGGGCGTCCGTCTCCCTGAGGGCCTTCCTTTCTCGCTGACCCTCCACTTTCCCAGGCCTGACGTCCTTCTCCAGGGAGTGGTCCCTTCTGACAACGTGACCACAGTAGGTGAGACCAAGTCTGGCCATTCTCACTTCTAAGGAGCGTTCCAGCTGCACTTCTAAGACAGATTTGTTTGCTCTTCTGGCAGTCCATGGTACTTTCAGTATTCTTCACCGGCACCACCATTTAAAGATATCAACTCTTCTTTAATCTTCTTACTCGTTGTCCAGTTCTCACGCGTACGAGGCAATCGAAAATACCGTGGCTTGGTTAGGCACACTTTGTCTTCAGAGTGGTATCTTTGCTCCTTAACACTTTCAAGAGTTCTTCTGCAGCAGATTTGCCTAGTGCAATACATTGTTTGATTTTTGATGACTGCTTCTGCAGGTGTTGATTGTGGATCCAAGTAAAATGAAATCCCCGACAGCTTCAGTCTTGTCTGTCTTTGTCACGGTGTTGCTTGTTGGTCCAGTTGGGAGGATTTGTGTTTTCTTTATGCTGAGGTGTAATCCACGCTGCAGCCTTCAGTCTTCATCAGAGTGCTTCAGATCTTTGTCGCTTTCAGCAAGCAGCGTTGTGTCCTCTGCGAAGTACAGGTGGTTAATGAGTCTTCCTCCAGTCCTGTTGCTGTGTTCTTCATACAGTCCAGCTTCTGGGATTATTCGCTCAGCATACAGATTGGCCAAGTGTGGTGAAAGGATGCAACCCATTTTAAATCATGCAGTGTCCCCTTGTTCTGTTCAAACGGTAGCCTCCTGGTCTGTGTACAGGTTCCTCATGAGCACAATTGAGTGTTCGGGAATTCCCATTCTTCTCAGTGTTAGCCATAATTTGTTATGATCCACGCAGCCTTTGCATAGTCAGTAAAACAGAGTCCAGCATCTTTCTGATACTCTCTGCTTTCAGCCTGGATCCCTCTGACGTCACAAGGCTGTCCCTCTCTGTCCCTGTCACTCTTTAGGGGGCCTGAATTATAAAGTGTTGTGCTTGATTATTGTCACGGTGATGTTCAACCTCACCAGTGAGGAAGGTGTCAGCATCTGTGTTATGTGAGCTGGTGGCCGTCGTGTCTGCCCTGACTTCTGGTGATGTCCGTGTGTCAGAATGGAGCTGTGTCCTCAGGGTTGCCAATGGCTGACTTTTTGGAAGCAGATCACCAGACTTTCTGCTGAGGTGCCTCTGGGGAGACTTGAACTGTCACCTCTTGGTTAGCAGCCAGGCACATTCTTGTCACCCAGGGACTCTTACTACTTAAAGACTTGCATATGATTCTCCGTTTTGCCTCTTGGCCTGTAAAGCCTAAAGTATCTACTATCTGACCCTTCATAGAAAATAGTTTCCTCCCTCTGAGTAACTTAACAGGCCAGAGATGAATATGAGAGAGAAAGGCCCCGTGCTTGGGGAAGGATGAGTTTGCGGTCAGTAGGAGGGCGACCTGAGGTCAGGGCCACCTGGAAGGCGGGTGTCACAGTGTGGGTCACAGAGGCTCAGGGAGCCTTCCTGTTACGGCTGCAGCGCTGGCTCCATGTGCCCGTGGAGGGCCGTGTCTGTTGTGCCCTCTCCCCTCTGCTCACCTGTCCCATGACTCTCTCTAGGTGACCAGGCTGCGTATTGCGAGGCCGCCAACAAGAGGGTCATGGATGTGATCAACTCTGCGCGGACCCACCAGCAGATGCTGCACGTCCAGACCTTCCACAATGACTCCCTCCTGCCAGGGCAGGATGCCGCCACCGCCGGTGACCGGAGGCCAGTCCCTGACACCTGGATTTACCCACTGATCCAGATGAAGCCCTTTGAGATCCAGCTTGATGAGATTGTCACCGAGACCCTGCTGACTGAGGCCGAGCGAGGTGCCAGGATCTATCTCACCACGGGCTACTTTAACCTGACGCAGGCCTACATGGACCTGGTCCTGGGCACGCGGGCTGAGTACCGGATCCTGCTGGCCTCGCCTGAGGTGAACGGCTTCTTTGGGGCCAAGGGCGTGGCTGGTGCCATCCCGGCGGCCTACGTCCACATCGAGAGGCAGTTCTACAGCAAGATGTGCAGCCTGGGACAGCAGGAGCGTGTCCAGCTTCAGGAGTACTGGCGGAGGGGCTGGACGTTTCATGCCAAAGGTATGTGGGCGGCCGGCTGGAGGACTGCCCCAGCGTGGGGGTGCCTCAAGGAGGGATGCACCCAACACCCCTGGTTCTGCGCAGGGCTTGGCTGATTGGCAGTTCGCCTGGTCCTACCTGCCAGGGCCTGTCCCACGCTCTTATGTCACCATGGCAACTGTAGAGGCACTTCATCTCCATCTGGCATCCTGGGGAGGTGACAGTGCTATTGGGAGCAGTCTTACTGGGTGGCACAGTGGTTAAAGCATTTGGGTGCTAATCAAAAGATTGGTGGTAGTTTGAACTCTACAGCCACGTCCTAGGAGAAAGACGAGGCTTCTCTATAAAGAGGACAGCCTTGGAGACCCTGGGGGCAGTTCCGCTGTGTCCTCTAGGGGCGCTGTGACTCAGAATCCACTCCATGGCAGTGGGTGTGGTTTGGGCTCTGCTTCTGTAAAGGTGACAGCCTTGGAGACCCTCTGAGGCGGTTCCACTCTGTTCTCTAGGGGCGCTGTGGGTCACAATCCACTGGAGAGCAACAGGGTTGGGTCTTTGGGTTTCAGTTACATGAAATCTTTTATGCACCCAAAACTTGAAAACTCCATCCTTTTGGTAGCTGTTTTTAAAAACATGTTCTATGTAGCCTGTCTGCTCAGACAGGCAGCGGACGTGATGAGGTCTTTCCTTGACCCTGAGCTTCCCCTTGTCAGCTGTCCCAGGCCAGGAGGTCCGCTGTTGCTCACTGGTGCACCTGCTCTTTTGTTTTCCTGGGTGCTGGCCCCCCCGGTAATAAACGAGAAAGCCGAAGCTATGTGCTTACCTGCCTCACATGCCTGTGACGTGGGCGGGACGTGTTGCCTGCCCCACATGCCCGTGACGTGGGCGGGCATGTTACCTGCCCCACACGGCTGTGACGTGGGTGGGCATGTTTATTCAGGATCTGTCCCGGCAGTTGGATACGTCCGAGGACCAGCCCAGATAGGCCGTCATCTCTGGTGCTGCTCTGAGATGTGGGCGGAGCTTGTTCAAAGCCTCGTGTTTAGCAGCCGGATTATCCCCATCGCGCCTCCGTGCTGTGCGGGCCCTGCCACCACTGCTGTGACCACACCCCCTTTTCTGATGCTCTGGAATCCACGTCACCAGTCGGTTCCTTCCCCCCCACCCCCGGCCCCTTTAGCCCCGAGTGCTAGGCTCTGCTGACCTCCCTGGGTATCCAGGCCTGCCTTGCTCCTGTCCTGGAGCTTTCTGGAGAGCTAGACTGAGCTGGGAGGAGAGAGCGCTGGGGCCTGTGGTGCGGAATGCCACAGGTGGGCGGCCACACATCATGAGCTGGGCCCCGTCCACCTGTGTGGTGCAGAACGCCATGGGCGTACGCTGAGCCCCTCTTTGACTCCTTGGTCGACCTCCTTTTATTTTGTTCAAGCCAGTGTTGCGACCGAAGACTCGTCTTCAGCAATTCAGAAGTCCACGCCCGCCCAGCCCCTGCATCCTGCCCCATGGGTGTATTTTTTTTTTAAAGACCTTTTATTATGATTTGGGTGAAAATTTACCCAGCAAGTTGGTTTTCCATTTGGCGATTCATGCGCATTGTGTTCGCGGCATCGACTGCAGCCCCCACAGGGTAACAGCTCTCCTCCCACGTCCTCCCTGTGCTCACGGTTTCTCTCCGTCCTTCTCCCCTGTCCCTTCCTTGTCTCTGGGTAGATGCTGCCCTTTGCATCTGCTGTGGTGCCTGCTTGTTCAGACGCCTCCCTGCTGTTATTGCTCCCCTTTTGGGCCTGTTTATTGTTTGGTTTAAAGTTGAGCCTGGGGGTGAGTTCAATTCCAGGTTTAAAGGGTGTCCAACGGTCATAGTCTCAGGGGTTCCCCCAGTCTCTCTCAGACCAGTGAGCCTGGTCTCTTTCATGATTCTGAGTTTTGCTCCACATTTTTCTCGCACTCGCTGTAGGACCGCCTGTTGTGACCCTCCAAGTGGCCAGCGTGGTGACTGGGCACCATCTAGTTTTGCTCGCACTCGCTGTAGGACCACCTGTTGTGACCTTCCGAGTGGGCACCATCTAGTTTTTCTGGTCTCAGGGTCGTGGAGGCTGACGTTGCTATGGTCCATTAGTGCTTTGGGCTAATTGCTTCATGAGTCTTTGATTGTCTTCACTCTTCTTTGTTCTGGACGAGGACAGACCAGTGGTTGCATCTGAGATGGACATGTGCATTTCTAGGACCCTCCCTACATGTGTCTACACATGTGTCTGTATGTGTATATGAGAGCCTGCTTCTCAGCCCAGAACCTTGGTCATAGCTCAGTGGGATGGCGCTCTGGCCTGTATAGTGGTTCCTGCTCAGGCAGGTGCTGTTGTTGGGGTTGGAGGTGAGCCGCCCTGTTGTACCATGAGCCTGAGGGTCAGGTGTCTCAGAGCAGGCAGGGTCAGTGGTAGGCTGTGTGTGGAAGGTGTTGTGAGTTCTGAGACTCACAGCAGCACCTGGGGTGGGGGGTTAGAGAGAGAACCAAGCAGTGGGGAGAAGCTGGTGGTGTAAGGCTTTTGACAGGGGCTCTGACGGGACCTGCTTGTGTGTGTCTGTGAGTGTATTTATATGTGTATGTCTGTATGTGAGTGTACCTGTGTGTGCACATTTTCGTATGTGTATCTGTGAACAAGTATCTGTACTTGTACATGTGTGTGTCTGCGTGAGCACACATGTATGAGTGTGTATCTCTGTGTTAACATATGTATGTGAGTATACCTGTATGTGTGCATGTTTCTGTATGTATATCTGTGAACAAGTATTTGTACATACGTACTTGTACATGCATATGTCTGCATGAGCACATCTGCATGAGTGTGTATCTGTGTGAGCACATGTCTGTGAGTGTACCTGTATGTGTGCGTGTTTCCTGTCTGTGTATCTGTATGTACCTGCACATACGTGTATGTGTGTCAAGCACATCTGTGTGGTTGTGTATCTGTACATGTGTCTACATGTGTGTCTGTATGTGTATATGAGTATCTCTACGTGTGTATCTGCATGTGTGTCTCTGTGGACATGTGTATCTGGAGTGTTTGTGGAGCTGCCCGGGGACATGTTTAGATGGTGCTTTTCTTGTCTGCACCGTTGCCGAGGCAGCAGGGGATCCCGTGTCACTGGGCTCCAGCTTAGGCCTTGGGGACAGTCCTGGCTGGTCTATTCTGACTCTGCAGGTGGGGGGCATTTATTTCCTCTAAATTGTGTCGATTATCATGCAGTGACTTCCCAGGTACCGACTGGCTTTTCCAGTGTGTTGCTCCTGTTCCCGGACTGGCCGGCTCCTGCCACCCCCACCCCCACCCCCCACTGCCTCGGACGGGTGGGGCCTGTGATCTGGGAGCATTGGATTAGTGGGGAAGGCATGAGTAATCTGCAGTTGGGTCCTCAGGTGTACACGTGTGTGTGTGTGCACATGTGTGTGCCTGCTGTAGGAGGCATGTTGGAAGGGGCGTCTTGCGTGCAGAGGGGCTTCACCCTGAAAGCAGGAGCTGGGGTCGGTGCACTCGGTGCTGAGTGTGAGGCAGGCCCCACCCCACTTGTGACGATGGGGATGTGAGAGGTAGCGCCCTCTCTGGTTGGTCTTCTGATGGCCACGCCCCCGGAGCTGCACTGCTTGAGCTGGCTTCATGCAGCAGTGCTGCCTGGTGCTGGACCAGTGGCCAGCGAGCTGCTCTGCTCCAGCCTGGGCTGCGACACGCAAGGGCTGGACTGTTCCTGCTGGGGGCTGTGGCACTGGTGCCATCCATGAACCTCTGCCCGCCCCCCAGCTCCTGCAGGACAGGCCTGGCCAACGTGGGCAGCTCCTGTGCCCAGAAACTCTGGCAGAGAGTGTGAGTGGGGACACCCTTTATCACTTCTAGATGCCTGCTCCTTGGGCGGCACTTCTTGTTGGCACCACAGCCCAGTTAGGTGGCGAGAGGGTTTGAGGACTGACCGTGTTCAGCTGGCCATGGGCCCTGTGAGGGGGCTTGGGTGGTCCTGCTCTCCGGGGCTGACAGGCTGGGTGGGGGAGAACGTGCTCATGTTTGGTGGCATGTGCTGATGGGTACCAGTCTGATGACAGGACATTCATGGCCAGGCTGTGTTCTTTTTTTAAAAAAAGTTTTACTGTGATTTGGGTGAAGGTTTACAGAGCAGATTCACCTTCCGTACAGCAGTTAGCATACCCTTTGTTCATGACATTGACTGTAATCTCCCACAGTGCAACAGCTCTCTTCCCAGTTCATCCCCCTAGTTACCTTTTCCCTGTGTCCTTCCCTCCGTGCACTCCTGCGCCCCGAGCTGTCTCCCTGTGCATACACAGCCTTTCTATTATTCCGTGATTGATCTCTCCAGGGAGTGTATCTACCTAATGTAAGTGTTCACCCCATACGCCTGTCTTTTGTTTGGCTGAAAGCCACAGGAATGGGTTTAATTCCAGACCTGAAGGGCAGCAAGGGGCCATAGTAGTCTCAGGGGTTCCACCAGACTCTATCAGACCAGCAAATCTGGTCCCTTTTTTTCCCCAGTGATTTTGAGTTTTGTTTCACATTGTTCTCCCTCTCTATCCAGGATCTCCTACATAGATTTCCTCTGAGTGGTTGACAGTGGTAGCCGGGCACCATCTAGTTCTTCTGGTCTCATAGTCGTGTAAGCTGAGGATCACATGGTGTACCAGTCGCTTGTAATAATTGTTTCTGTGAATCTTTGGTTTTCTTCATTCTTCTTAGCTCTGAACAAGGAGAGACAACATTGTTGCATCTAGGTGGTGCTTGTAGCTTTTAAGATTCCAGTTGCTACTCGCCAAAATAGGAGGTGGAACGATGTTTTGTGTAGTATGTTATGCCAGTTGAGCTTGATGTCCCCTGTGACTATGGTCCTGAGCCCACAGGTCCAACTACTCGCTTCCTTTGGGTAGCTGGCTGTGACCAAGAAGTGACTACATCCTTGGCCCTTGTCAGCTCTACTGTATATCTGGGAATTCTTACAGAACATACAGATACTTGTAGAGACATTGTCTG